AACAAAACACGATTTCCGAGGACTTAATCACTCCTATCGATGACGAAAATTAAATTGAACTCATGAATTTTTATATAAATTACTTATACTTATGTTTCAAAATGTACTAATTATTTCTGTATTTTATGAATATTAACATAAAAAATACTTAAATCAAACCTTTATATTAAATATGTTCATGGTATAAATTATTATTATATATGTAATTTATTCAACAATTTTAGTAAATCACTGTCCTTTCTCGAAACATCACTTCGGTAAAATACGTCGGACAAAATTAATATATGTCAGTCATTTTTCTAAACTATTTATTTTGAAAGTGGCTCAAGTCACTTTACCGTAATGAAAAGTGGTGATATTTTAATGTTCATACGAAATTATTTATACTGAGAAAATTATCAGTATCCTGAGATAACAAATACAAGTAAATCTTCTCGGAAGTTAGCATCCATATCTTTAAACGTGTTAAAACGCAAACCCTTAAATATATTGACTTCAAAACAAAGTGACTTATGCCACTTTCAAAATAAACGGCTCATATATCCATACGTTATTTTCAACTGAATGAAATTATTGAAGAAAGAAGGGGGGGATAAGTATGTTACCCTGATTACGTTGCTGATGAAAAGAGTGTTCCATCGAATCGACAATTTACCGTGTACTTCACGGTGGGAAATCAATCTGTTTCGGATGAAGACCCAAGAATATCGTTTCAAACCGTTTGATCTGTTCATCTTGAAGGTGTCTGTATCGTCGAGTGACAACCTGGACCAACAATCAGCATAAATAAAACTCGCGCGCGGAGGAAACTATGCCACGGATTGAAGAAGAAATTTTCGAAAGCGTTCTGTTCACGTTGTGGAATTTCGATGGAAAAAATGTCATCCTTAAAAAGCCAGATCTTTTAGAATTCGCATAATAACAGTTTCACGGAAATGAATTAACTTCGAATAAAAGGAGCCGCGTGAAGAAACAAACGATCTTCGATCGTTCACTATCTATATATAAGTATTAAAAAAATAAGTAACATACATCGTCGATTTAATCGCAATAATTCTAGCATCGCGATACATACGGGGAAGAGCGAAATGTATTTTCTCCGGATAAAAAGTATACAGCCATAATTGTACAGGAAAAACTGATTATTACCGCGTTTCTTCCTAATCAGATAATTCGCCTGATTCCAGCAATTAGAACTAGAATGTCAGTTTAATTACAATGCTGTCTATGTGTCCAACGAAAACCGCCTCTCTCCTATCGCGTTTCGCGGATATCGCGAGTCCACGTTCTTACGAAACCTGTCTTTTCTTACCAGCTGCCCACACCTCGTCGCAAACACCTTCCCTGTCAAGCCGTATTCAATCTTTTTCTCGCAATCGCGCGCTACAGTGCAAGAAACATTAATTACAATCATTATCGGGCTCGCGAAGTGGATCACCTATTCCCGTCGTCCCTGGCGCGGTACGAGAGCAACGAAAATAAGGAGAAAAAAGACGCGATCCAGGGGGGGAAAAGGACACTCGCGAGAGGCCTAGCGTGTCAGGATTTTCGCAAGACCGTCGTCAACTTTCCAAATCGTTCGATCGTTGTCTCCACGAATGCCGCGACGGGCATCGAAGGGAAACGGAACTTTCGTAGTCATCTCGGGCCTTAGTTTCCGTTGCAACCTGCGAGGGCCCCGTGCGTAACCGTTCGCACGCGATCAACCGTGCGACGAAACGGAAGAAGGGGACCGATTAAGGTCGCGAGCAAATTGGTCGCCGCCACCGGCTAAGGTAGAGGGGCTCGCAAGACGAGGGAACAGGGGCGAACCGCGGAACAGACGGGACGAAAAGGTGGAAGCAGGGGCAGGAGGTGAACAGGTGGCGTGAGAAAACGAGGAGGACCCACATTGTCCACTGTAGAAGTGCAGTGTGCAGCACAGTATCGGCAGGATCCTGAGAACGTTGTGTCTCATGGCGATCCAAGAACATCCTTCACCGGTCCCAGCATCCACCGATGCATCTATAATTTAAAAAACATTAATCATTCGATTAGCGGTCGTTGCCGAGAGAGAGAGAGAGAGAGAGAGAGAGAGAGAGAGAGAGAGAGAGAGCGATCTTTGTCGAAATTGTTGCGATGTTGGGAGGAAACGAATTCAACGTGAAATTAATTGGGTTAGTCACACGGATTCGCGCCCCGTTTCATTGCATTCCCATTTAACCCCCATCCGTGCTTCGTGTTAACAACTTCGTTAGTTCTTCCTAATTATAGATATCATAATAATAGATATCAACAATAACAACAATCAATTATAGATATCAACTTGTCGTAATAAAAAAAGAAAGAAAAATTGTGGAGAGATTAACCCTTTGCACTCGTGTGGTGACTCCGACTCACCACTTAAAATTGTTACATAACGTTTCAAAATAATGTTAACATTGTCAAAGTTTAGATTTAAAACATTGTTAAGAGCGTAATTGTTGCGCGACTCCAAAGAGTCAATTTCATATGCATAAAATGCATTTTGCCGTATAAAGTAAAAACACTGTGAGTTGGAAAAATAATTTTATATTTACAGTTGAAACAGCTTCGAGTGCCAAGGGTTAACCCTTTGTTGTATCGATGTTCCCTTTCTGGGGGCACAACGATAATAACGCAACGATGATTATGGTACAATTGAGGAACAATAGGAGAGAATTTACTGTAATTGTTTTATCAAACATTTTCAGATCATAATCGAACTAACGCCATATTTTAAGGTTATCTTTACGTAGCCACCTTTCTCCGCCCCTCCCCTCCCTATTTCACCAAACATACCGCCACTTGTTTTAACTTATTTAACCTTTTAGGCACGACGCGCCACTATAGTGGCTTTCGCGGATGTCATCTCTCTGGACGACGCACCGCTATAGTGGCTTGCTCTAGTAGCTCACTCGCTCATCGTTTGAACCAAATAATCGTCATCGTATGCATTGTTTCACACTTCTTTTGTCTTCGCATCGATTTACGACAGTCTACAGGGTGTCTCAAAAATGTCTCGCAATCCGGAAATGGCGGGTTCCTCGGATCATTTGAGGCAACTTCTTCCTTTACAAAAATGTTCTCCGAGGCACCGTTAACGAATTATTAACGAAAAACAGTGACCAATAAGAATCGAGTACGGCTGACGCGAGGCCCAGCCAACCAGCGCGCGAAGCCCAGTTCCGCTCATTGGCTCGATCGCCTCGCGCCAGCCGAGCTCGCCTCTCGTTGGTCACTGTTTTTCGTTAATAGCTCGTTAACGGTGCCTCGAAGAACATTTTTGTAAAGGAAAAAGTTGCTTCAAATAGCCCGAGGAACCCGCCACTTTCGGATTGTGAGACATTTTTGGGACACCCTGTATATACAG